CTTCCTTCCTTCCTTCCTTCCTTCCTTCCTTCCTTCCTTCCTTCCTTAGTGGTGGGTTGGGCAGAGGGAGAGAAAGAATCCCAAACAGGCTCCATGCCCAGCACAGAGCCCGATGTGGCTCTCCAGCCCACAACTGTGAGGTCATGACCTGGGTGGAAATCAGAAGTTGGGTGCTTAACTGACTGGGCCACCCAGGTGCCCCAAATGCCATCACTTTAAAAAATACATAGTTGGGGCACCTGGGTGGCGCAGTCGGTTAAGCGTCCAACTTCAGCCAGGTCACGATCTCGCGGTCCGTGAGTTCGAGCCCCGCGTCAGGCTCTGGGCTGATGGCTCGGAGCCTGGAGCCTGTTTCCGATTCTGTGTCTCCCTCTCTCTCTGCCCCTCCCCCGTTCATGCTCTGTCTCTGTCTGTCCCATAAATAAATAAAAACTTTGAAAAAAAATTAAAAAAAATATAGTTATTTTTTGTTTTGTTTTTCATTAAAATTTTTATTTTGAGATAATTACAAATTCACGTGCAGCTGGAAGAAATAATGCAGAGAGATCCATTTACCCTTAACCCAATTTCTCCCAATGGTAGTATATTCCAGAATTACAGTGCAAGATCACAACCAGGGCATTGGCACTGATATGGTCAAGATACAAAACATTTCCATCATTACAAAGATGCCTCATGTTGCATTAAATCACCATTAAATCACCTTTGCACCTTTGTGTGGGTCTGGTTCTGGGTTCTGTTCCATTGGTCTATGTGTTTATCCCTTTGCCAGTACCATATAGTCTTGAAATGATTCTTCTCATTTTATTCTTCTTTTTCAAAATTGCTTTACCTACTCTAGTTCCTTTGACTTACTACATAATTTTTTTTGTTTAATTTTTAATTTTTTTATTTTAGACAGGGGGAGGGGCAGAGGGAGAGAGAATCTCAAGCAGACTCCATGCCCATCACAGAGCCCAACACAGGTCTGGATCGCATGACCATGAGATCATGACCTGAGACAAAATCCAGAGTCAGACACTTAACTGACTGAGCCACCCAGGTGCGTCATAATAAATTTTGGAAAATAATCTGGCTGGGACTTTTATGGGAATTGTTTTAAACCTGTACCAGAGAGAATTGACATCTTTACTGTGTTGAGCCTTCCAATCCATGAACATGGTATGTCGCTCCATTTATTTAGATCTTTGATTTCTTTCATCAGTGTTTTTTCGTCTTCAGCATATGAGGCTTACATATGCTTTGTAAGATTTACACTTAAGTATGTCATTTTTAAAAAAAATCAATTGTATATGTCGCAGGTAAGAATGTAAAATGGTTCAGCCAATGTGGGAAATAGTTTGATGGTTCCTCAAAAGGTTAAACAGAATTACCATATGATCCAGCAATTCCACTCCAAGGAATAAACCCCCACAAAACTGAAAAAAAGATACTCAAGTTCTTGGAAAATAGTGGACTAAGTGAGATCCTAAGCTTACCTTGTCCCATGGGCACACCTAGATAACAGCCACGTCAGTGCATCCAATCCAGAAAATGACGTGAAGACTGAGAGAACAGACATTCCACAGTTAATTGTAGAGATGATACATCAAAAAAGATAGGAGGGGCAGAGACGGGCTTGAGAACCAAAGTCCCAAGGAAACTAACCATAAATAGGAGGGATACCACAAGCATGGAGAACGGAAAGAAGCAGACCCTACCTTAGGTACTCTAGATATGGGGGACCTGCACTTAGAAGATGAGTCCCCATAACATTTGGCTTTGAAAACCAGTGGTGCTTAACTTCATGAGTCTTTATAACCAGAGGGGCTTAACTCCAAGTACTTTAAAAATCAACAGGCTGGAGGGTGATAGGAAACAGTACTCACTCTTAAAGAGACAGCATAACAAGAAGCCCCAATGAGACACAGCATAGAGACAGCAATTTGAAAAGCACCTGGGGTGTGCCCGAAGGAGGTTGATTTACTCATCCCAGAAGGTGTGCTGGAGGGCCAGGGATCTTTAGACTTCTCTAAGAATCAAAGAGCTGGCAGGAACCATTTCTCTCCACCTTCCCTTCAGTCTAGATAGCCAGACACCAGTAGGAAATAGCACCAACACTCTCCATCTACCTTGTTCATACCACATGACCCACCCCTACATTCTCCTGCAGATCTGCCCCATCCAACCTTCCCCATTAGGTAGAAGTCTCTCCAAAGAAGCTCCTGCTACATCTCATCCTGAAAGCAGCCCCTGCAAGACCATTGTCACTCCAAAGTGACTCCTGCCCAGAGAGAAGGGAAGATAACAACACACACCAGGACACTCACAATCCCAGAAGCCCATCATTATAACTGAGAGTGTAGAGAGAGTGCCCCGCTGATCAGTGCATCTGCAGCCCCTGCAGGCATCTGGCTTGATGTCTGGCCAACCCACCAACAAAAGCCTCTCATGGGATGAGGCGAGAAAAGCACCTTACAGTTTGGTGCTACTGCAGCCCCAGAAAATGGGCTGAGGACAGGTATCTGGTCTGATTGCTGCCACCACCCCACTACAAGCCCATGACAGTCTCAGACTGACCCCTTAACAGCACAGTGATCAAACCTGGCCCACAACAGACAAAGGGACAACTGGACTGTAGGCAAACAAGGATCTGCCACAATGGTAGAGCACACAAAACTCACACAGGAGACACCCTGAAGTGCTTGGTTCTGGTGAGGAGGGGACATTGTGCTATAGGGTACTACAGGAACTCTTCTTCATAAGGTCACTCCTTTCAAGTTCAGGAGATGTAACTGAATTTCCTAATACATAAAAACAAACATGAGAGTTAGACAAAATGAAGAGACAGAGGAATATGTCCCAAAGGAAAGAAAAGGACAAAACCACAGCAAAGAAGCTAAATGAAATGGAGATAAGCAGTATGCCTGATTAAGGATTCAAAGTAATGGTCATAAAGATACTAGACTTGAGGAGCCTGGGTGGATCAGTTGGTTAAGCATCTGACTTTGTTTCAGGTCATGATCTCATGGTTCATGGGTTTGAGCCCCACGTTGGGCTCTTTGCTGACAGCTCAGAGCCTGGAGCCTGCTTCAGATTTTGTCTCCCTCTCTCTCTGCCCCTCCCCCCCCCACACTCTGTCTCACTCTGTCTCTCAAAACTAAATAAATATATATTTTTTTAATTTTTTTTAACGTTTATTTATTTTTGAGACAGAGAGAGACAGAGCATGAACAGGGGAGGGGCAGAGAGAGAGGGAGACACAGAATCTGAAACAGGCTCCAGGCTCTGAGCTGTCAGCACAGAGCCCGACGTGGGGCTCAAACTCACGGACCATGAGATCATGACCTGAGCTGAAGTCGGATGCTTAACCGACCAAGCCACCTAGGCGCCCCAATAAATATATTTTTAAAAAAAGATACTTATTGGACTTGAGAAAAGAGTGGAGGACCTCAGTGAGACCCTTTACAAAGAGATAAAAATATAAAAAAGAACCAACTGGAGATGAAGAACTCAATAACTGAAATTAAAAATATACAAGATGGAAACAATATAGAGTAGAAAAAGCAGAAGAATGGATCAGCAACCTGGAGGACAGAGTAATGGAAAACAATCAAGCTGTACAGCAAAAACAAAAAAGAATAATAAAAAAATGACAATAGGTTAGGGGGATTCAGAGACACCATCAAGTGTAATAACATTCACATTATAGGGGTCCCAGAAGGAGAAGAGAGAGAAAAGGGGGCAGAAATTTTATTTTTAAGAAATAATAGCTAAAAATTTCCCAACAAAATCAACCCAAGAAGGTCCATACCAAGACAGGTAATAATGAAAATGGCAAAAAGCAGTGATTAGGAGAAAAATTTTAAAGCAGGAAGAAAAAAGAAAACAGTTACATACAAGAGGAACCCCATAAGGCTATCAGCCAATTTTTCAGTAGAAATTTTGCAGGACAGAAGGGAGTGGCATGACATATTCAAAGTGCCTAGCATTGATAGCAAGCTTATCATTCAGAATAGAAGGAGAGATAAAGAGTTTCCCAGACAAATAAAAGTTAAAGGAATTCATCACCACTAAACCAATCTTACAAGAAACATTAAACAGAATTCTTTTATTTATTTTGAGAGAGAGAGTGAGAGCAGGGGAGGGGCAGAGAGAGAGAGGGAGACAGACCACAGAGCCTGAAGTGGGGCTCGAACTCACAAACCATGACATCATGATCTAAGCCAAAACCAAGAGTAGATGGTTAACTGCCTGAGCCACCCAGGCACCCCTAAATGGAATTAAAATTTTTTTTTTCTTAAGTAATCACTATACTCAACATGGGGCTCTAACTCACTACCCTGAGATCAAGAGTTGCATGCCACCAGGCACCCCTAAATGGATTCTTGGAGTGGAAAGAAAAGGCCATAATGAGGAATAAGAAAATTATGAAAGGAAAACATTTCACAGGAAACTACATACATAATAAAAGTAGTAGATCAATCACATATAAAACCACTACAGAGGTAAAAGGACAAAAACAGTAAAATCAATTGTATCTATAAAAATTAGTCAAGGGATTCACAAAATAAAAGGATGTAAAGTGTGGTATCATACACATAAAATGGGTGAGGGGAGTAAAAATACAGTGCTTTTAGAATATGTTCAAATTTAAGTGACCATCAACTTAATATAGACTGCTATATACATAAGATGTTATATATGATCCTAATGATAACCACAAATCAAAGAAATAAAGAGAAAGAAATCCAAGCACATCACTAAAGAAAGCCATCAGACCACAAGTGAAGAGAGCAAGAGAAGAAAGGAACAGAGAAGAACTGCAAAAATGACCACAAGTAACAAAATGGCAACAAGTACATATCTATTAATAACTACTTTGAATATAAATGGACTAAATGCTCCAATCAAAAGACATAGGGTGATAAAATGGATCAAAAAGCAAGGCTTATCTATATCTTGCCTATAAGAGACTTTCTTCACACCTAAAAAGGCATGCAGATTGAAAGTGAGGGGATGGAAAGGTGCCTGGGTGGCTCAGTCAGTTAAGCATCCAACTTCGGCTCAGGTCATCATCTCACGATTGGTGGGTTTGAGCCCCGTGTCAAGCTCTGCACTGGCAGAGCCTGCTTGGGATTCTCTCTCCCTCTCTCTCTGCCCCTCCCTGCTCTCTCTCAATCTCTCTCTCTCCCCCTCCCCCTCCCCCTCTCCCTCTCTACCCAAAATAAATAAATAAACATTTAGAAAAAAAAAAGAAAGTGAAGGAATGGCAAAATATTTACCATGCAGATGGTAAAAAGAAAGCTGGGTTAGTAATGCTTACATTGGACAAAACAAAAACTGTAACAAGAGACAAAGAAGGAGTGATGAAGGGAACAATCCAACAAAAGAATATAACAATTGTAAATATTTATGCACTCAATATGAAAGCACCTAAATACATAAAGCAACATAAATATTAGCAGACATAAAGGAAGCAGACATAAAGGAAGAAATTGACAGTAATCCAATAATAGTTAGGGACTTTAACACCCCACTTACAGCAAGAGATAGGTCATCCAGATAGAGAATTAACAAGGAAACAGTGACTTTGAATGACATTTTGGACCACATGTACCTAACAGATACATTCAAACATTCCATCCCAATACAGCAGAATACACATTCTTTTTAAGTGCACATGAAACATTCTTCAGAATAGATCACTTTTTAGGCCACAAAACAAATCTCAATGAATTTAAAAAGATTGAAATCATACCATGCATCTTTTCTGACCACAGTGATATTTAACTAGAAATCAATCACAAGAGGGGCACCTGAGTGGCTCATTTGGTTAAGCATCTGACTCTTGATCATAGCTCAGGTCTTGATCTCAGGATCATGAGCGAACTCTGTGTTAGGCTCCACAGTGCACATGGAGCCTACTTAAAAAAAAAAAAAAAAAGCAATCCAAGAAAAAATCTGGAAAGAACACAAATACATGAAGACTAAATAACATGCTACTAAACAGTGAATGGGTCAATCAAGAAATCAAAGAGGAAATCAAGTCATGGAGACAAATGAAAGTAAAACCACAATTGTCCAAAATCTTTGAGATGCAGCAAAAGCTAAGAGGGAAGATTATAGCAATACAGGTGTACCTCAAGAAGCAAGGAAAATCTCAAATAAACAACCTAACCATATACCTAAAGGAGCTAGAAGAATAAGAATAAACAAAGTCCAAGGCCATTAAAATGAAGTATATAATAAAGATGAGAGCAGAAATAAATGAAATAAAGATTAAAAAAATAGAACAGACAAATGAAACCAGGAGCTGGTTGTTTGTTCGTTTTTAAGTAAGCTCTAGGCCCAATGTGGGGTTTGAACACATGACCTTGAGATCAAGAGTCACATGTTCTACTGATTGAGCCAGCTAGGCATCCCAGGAACTGGTTCTTTAAAAGATCAACAGAATTGATAAACCTTTAGCCAGACTCATCAAAAAGAAAAAAGAGGACTCAAATAAATAAAATCACAAATAAAGGAGGAGAAATAACAACCAACACCACAGAATTATATTTATTATTTATAATATTCTCTTACAAAGGATTATAAGAGAATATTATAAAAAATTATATGCCAATAAATTGGGCAACCTAGAATAAATGGATAAATTCCTAGAAACATATAACCTCCCAAAACTGATTCATGAGGAAATAGAAGATTTGAACAGATCAATTATTAGTATTGAAATTGAATCAGTAATAAAAAAAACTCCCAAAACACAAAAGTCCAGGACCAGGTGGCTTCTCAGTTGAATTCTACCAAATATTTGAAGAAGAGTTAATACCAATTATTCTCAAACTGTTCCAAAACATAGAGGAGGAAGGAAAGCTCCCATATTCATTTTATAAGGTCAGCATTACCCCCAATCACAAAACCACATAAAGATATTGCAAAAAAAGAAAACTACAGACCAATACCTCTAATGAACACAGGTGCAAAAATCCTTAACAAAATATTAGCAAATGGAATCCAAGAATACATTTAAAAAATCATTTGCCATGATCAAGTAGGATTTCTTCCAGGAATGTAGGGCTAGCTTGATATTCACAAATTAATAGATGTGATATATCACATTAACAAGAGAAAGGATAAAAAAATTATGATCATCTCAGTAGATGCAGAAAAAGCATTTGGCACAGTAAAACATCCATTCGTGATGAAAACTCTCAACAAAGTAGGGTTAGAGGGAATGTATCTCCACCTAATAAAGGCCATATATGAAAATCCCACTGCTAACGTCACAAAGGTGAAAAACTGAGAATTTTTCTCTAACATCAGGAACAAGACAAGGATGTCCAGTCTCACCACTTTTATTAAGCTTAGAAATGGAAATCCAAGCCACAGCAATCAGACAAGAAAAAGAAATAAAAAGGTATCCAAATTCATGAGGAAGAAGTAAAACTTTCACTATCTATAAATGACATGATACCATATATACAGAAAACCCCAAAGACTCCACTAAAAAACTACTCAAATTAATAAATGGATTCAGCAAAGTTGCAGGACACAAAATATATGCAGACATTGGCTGCATTTCTATACCCTGATAATGAAGCAGCAGAAGTGAAATTAAGAAAGTATTCCCAATTACAAATGCACCAAAATGACAAGAAGAATAAACCTAACCAAAGAGGTGAAAGAACTATATTCTGAAAACTATAAAACATCAATGAAAGAAAGTGAAGATGACACTTCAACAAATGGTATTGGGAAAACTGGACAGCTACATGCAAAAGAATGAAACTGGGTGATTCTTTCATCATACACAAAAATAAAGTCAAATGGATTAAATACCTGAATGTGAGACCTGAAGCCATAAAAGTCCTAGAAGAGAGCACAGGTAGTAATCTCTTTGACATCAGCCATAACAACATTTTTTTAGATATGTCTCATGAGGCAAGGGAAATAAAAGCAAAAATAAACTATTGGGACTACATCAAAATAAAAAGTTTCTGCACAGTGAAGGAAACAATCAACAAAACTAAAAGGCAACCTATTGAATGGGAGAAGAAAGACATATCCAATAATGTGTTAGTATCCAAAATATATAAAGAACTGATACAACTCAACACCCCCCAAACTCAAATAATCCAATTTAAAAAATGGACGGAACGTATGAACAGACATTTCTCCGAAGAAGACATACAGACACATGAAAAGATGCTCAACATCACTCATCATCAGGGAAATGCAAATCAAAACCACAATGAGATATTACCTCACACCTGTCAGAATGGCTAAAATCAACAACATCAGAAACAACAGATGCTGGTGAGAATGTGGAGAAAAAGGAACCCTACTACACTGTTGGTGGGAATGCAAACTGGAGCAGCCATTGTGGAAAACAGTATGAAGATTCCTCAAAAAGTTAAAAATAGACCGACCCTATGATCCAGCAATCACACTACTGGGTAGGTACCCAAAGAATACAAAAACATTAATTCAAAGGGTTACATGCAAACCCTGTGTTTATTAAGCATTATTTATAATAGCCAAGATACGGAAGCAGCCCAAGTGTCCATCGATGGATGAATGGATAAAGAAGATGTGGTACATATATACAATGAATATTATTCAGCCATAAAAAGGAATGAAACTTTGCCATTTGCAACAACGTGGATGTTGTTAAGCAAAATAAATCAGAAAGACAAATACCATATGATTTCACTCGTATGTGAAATTTATGAAACAAAACAAATGAGCAAGAGGAAAAGAGAGAGAGAGCTAAACCAAGAAACAGACCCTTAACTATAGAGAACAAACTGATGGTTATTAGAGGGGAAGTTGGAGGAGGGGAGATGGATTAAATAGGTGATGGGGATTAAGAAGCACACATGTGATGAGCACCAGGTGATGTATGACATGTTTGAATCATTATATTGTACACCTGAAACTAATATAACACTGTATATTAACGAACTGGAATTAAAATATAAGCTTCGGGGTGGCTGGGTGGTTCAGTCGGTTAAGTGTCTGACTTTGGCTCAGGTCATGATCTCATGATTCATGAGTTCAAGTCCTGTGATGCAGCATGGAGCCTGCTTCGGATTCTCTGTCTCCTTCTCTGTCTGTCCCTCCCCTGTTCATACATTCTCTCTGAAAAATAAATAAATACACATTAAAAAATAAACAAAAGCTAAAAAAAAAAAAAGAAAACAATCAAGGTCACGTGGGTGGCTCAGTCAGTTAAGCATCTGACTCTTGATTTTGGCTCAGGTCATGATCTCATGGTTTGTGAGATCAATCTCCACATCAGGCTCTGTGCTGATAGTATGGAGCCTGCTTGGGATTCTCTCTGCCCCTCCCTGCTCTCTCTTTCTCTCTCAAAATAAATAAACATTAAAAAGAAAAGAAAAGAAAACAATCCCATTTCCAATTGCACCCAAAGGAATGAAATACCATAGAAAAAACATAACCCAAGGAGGTGAAATATTGTACTCCAAAAACTATAAAACACTGATGAAAGAAATTGAAGATGACCCAAACAAATGGAAATATATTCCATGCTCATGGACTGAAAGAATAAACATCATTAAAGTGTCCATCCTACCCAAAGCAATCTACAGACTTAATGCATTCCCTACCAAAGTGCCAACAGCATTTTTCACAGAAGTAGAATAAATAATTCTAAAATTTGTATGGAACCACAAAAGATCACGAATAGCCAAAGCAATCTTGAAAAGGAGGAACAAAACTGAAGGTATCACGAGCCCAGATTTCAAAATATACTACAAAGTTGTAGTAGTCAAAACAGTATGGTATGGCACAAAAATAGACACATGGATCCATGGAATAGAATAGAAAACCCAGAAATAAACCCACATTTCTATCATCAATTCCTCTCTAGAGTGCAAATACAATAGGAAAGATATTATCTTCAACAAATGGCATTGGGGAAACTGGACAGCTATATGCAAAACAATGAAACTGGACCACTTTCTTACACCATATGCAAAAATAAACTCAAAATGGATTAAAGACCTAGATGTGAGACCCAACACCATAAAATTCCTAGAAGATAACATAGGTAGTCATTCCTTCGTCACTGGCTATTGAAACATTTTTCTAAATATTTCTCCTCAGGCAAAGGAAACGAAAACAAAATTAAACTACTGGGACTAAACCAAAATAAAAAGCTTTTGCACAGTAAAAAAACAAGACAAAAAGCAACCTACTGAATGGTAGAAGATATTTGCAAATGATCTACCTAATAAGGAGTTAATTTTCAAAACATATAAAGAACTGATACAACCCTGGGTGGCTCAGTCGGTTAAGCATCCAACTTTGGCTCAGGTCATGATCTCACAGTTCGTGAGTTAGAGCCCTGTGTTGGGCTCTGTGCTGACCTCTCAGAGCCTGGAGCCTGCTTCAGATTCTGTGTTTCCCCCTCTCTCTCTCTGCTCCTCTCCTACTTGCACTCTATCTCTCTCTCTCTCTCTCAAAAGTAAATAAATGTTAAAAATTTTTTAAAAAGTAAATGCAATCATCTATACATTAAAAAAAGAAAGAACTGATACAAGTCAACACTAAAGAAATAAATAATCTGATTAAAAAATAAGCAAAGGACATCAAGAGACATTATTCCAAAGAAGACAATGGCCAAGAGATACATCAAAAGATGCTCAACATCACTAATCATTAGGGAAATAGAAATCAAAACCACAATGAGATAAAACTTCACAACTGTCAGAATGGCTAGAATCACAAAGATGAGAAATAATAAGTGTTGGTGAGGATGTGAAGAAAAGGGAACCTTTGTGCACTGTTGGTGAGAACACAAATTGGTGCAGCCACTGTGGAAAACAGTATGGAGGTTCCTCAAAAAATTAACAACAGAATTATCATATGAACTAGTAATTCCACTACCTGGTATTTATGCAAAGGAAGCAAAAATACTAATTCAAAAGGTATATGCACCTTTAGCATTACTTACGATAGCCAAGATAGATACCAATATAATATATATATATATACACACATACATATATATACATATACATATATATATACATGTATATACATATACATATACATACATATGTATATATACATGTATATACATATACAATGGAATATTATTCTTCGGTTTTAGTACCAGGGTAATACTAGTTTCAGAAAATGAATTGGTAAGGGTTACTATAATGCCCCCTGTCTCTGATAATTTTCTTTGCTTCAAAATCTACTTTATCTGATATTAATATAGCCACTCATTCTTTCTTTTTATTAACGTTTGTAGCATATATATCTTTCCATCCCTTTACTTTCAAACTGCTTATATTGTTAGTGAAGTGAGTTTCTTGTAGACAGCATAAGGCTGGGTCATATTTTTAATCCACTCTGCCAATTTCTGTGTTTTAAATGGTGTATTGAGATTTATTGAATTTAATTATTGATATGTTAGGGTTTAAGTGTGCCATCTTATTTTTTTTTCTATTTGGTTCTATTTTGTTTTGTTTTCATTTCTGTTTCCTCTTCTATGACTTTCTGTAGGTTGCTTGAACATTTTTTTTTAATTCCATTAAAAAAATTGTTTAATGTCTATTTATTTTGAGAGAGAGAGAGAGAGAGAGAGAGAGAGAGAACGTGTGTGTGTGTGTATGCTCACAAGCAGGGAAGGGTCAGAGAGGAGAGACAGAATCCCAAGCAGGCTCTGCGTCATCCGCACAGAGCTTGATGTGGGGCTTGAACTCCCAAACCATGAGATCATGACCTGAGCCAAGATCAAGTCAGACACTTAACCGTCTGTGCCACCGAGGGATCCCATTGAATTCCATTCTTGTTTATCTATAGTGGTTTTTTTTTTATTTTTTTAAACGTTTATTTATTTTTTGAGACAGAGAGAGACAGAGCATGAACGGGGGAGGGGCAGAGAGAGAGGGAGACACAGAATCCGAAACAGGCTCCAGGCTCTGAGCCATTAGCCCAGAGCCCGAAGCGGGGCTGGAACTCCCGGACCGTGATATCGTGACCTGAGCTGAAGTCGGACCCTTAACCGACTGAGCCACCCAGGCGCCCCTATAGTGTTTTTAAGTGTATCGGTTTGTATAACTTGTTTTAGTCATTTCTCTAGCTATTACTACACACACACACACACACACACACACACACACACACACACACACACATATAATTTTTCAGGTACTAGTGTCATTTTACCAGTTCAAATGAAGTATAGAAACCTTACTTCCCTTTACTTTCCTCCTATTTTAAATATTACTTCTACTTCTACATATATTTAGAACATTATAATTTTTGCTTCAACCACTATTTCAGAAACTCAAGAGAAGTCTATTGTTTTTACTCATATTTTCGCTTACCATGTTACTTTTTCCCTTTCTGATGTTTCAGTTCCTTTTTAAAATGTCTTCCTTTCTGCTTAGAAAACTTTCTTCAGCTATTGTTTTAGGGTAGGTCTGCTAGCAACAAATGTTTCTAGTTTTCCTTCATCTGAGAATGTCTTAATTTTCTCTTAATAACTCTCACAAGCTATTTTCACTGGATTCTGATTTGACAGTTTTCTTTCAGCACTTGCAAAATGTGCTACTTCCTTTTGGCGTTCACGGTTTCTGATGAGAAATCTGGTGTCATTTGAATGGTTTCTTCTGCCGGTGAGGTGTCCTCTCTCATTCGCTGCCCTCAAGAATTTTTGTAGTTAGTTACAAGTTTGACTATAAAGTGTCTGGTGTGGATTTCTTTGGGCTTGTTGGGGTTCATTCAGTTCCTCCTTCACCTCCTTCTAATGTTAACTACTGCTTACTAAGCAACGGCTGTATATCAGACATTGTGCTGGACATTTTATGTACACTCTTGCTAATTCCACCCACTTGGGAGTTAGGTGTGTTAGACTAAACCACATGAAACTGTCATGGCTTCACTCAGCTTCTCGAATCTATAGGTTTATGTCTTTCGCCAAATTTAGTACATTTAAGATGTTATTTCTGTGGGTACTTTTTCAGCCTCCCCTTTCTCCTGTCCTTTTTTTTTTCTCCTCTCCTTCTGAGAGTCCCATGACATGAATGTTAAATCATCTATTATAGCCCCATAGGTCCTTGAGGCTGTTAATTTTTTTCTCGGTTAGATAGTACAGTTTCTATTGTTCTCTCTTCCAGTTCACTGCTTCTTTCCTCTAACATAACATAATTGTTTTGACATCTACCAATGATCTTTTCTCAGTTTAAGATCTTCCTGGCTCTTGGAATTGATTTTCAATTAAAACCTGGACATTCTGGAAATTATAAGGCTCTGCATCTTATTAGGATCTACTTTAGTTAGTTTAACCTGAAACCACTCCAGTAGAAGGCAAGGGTCATTGCCTTGATATTGCTAAATGGAGGCTGAAGTTCAGGTTCCCACTTAGCTACTGTTGTCACCCAAGGGTGTATCTTGTTACTGCTGAGTGCAAGTGTAAGTTCCAACTCCCCAGTAAGCCTCCACTGGTCCTTCCCCAGCTCCTAGGAGTGGGAATGTCTTATTACTGCCCACTACATGGCCCTCACTAATATAACAGGGGAGGGTGGCGTTTTTACCACTGGGTGGTGATGAAAGTCCTGACCTACCACTTGGCCTCTGACACCACCCCAGCAGAGAGGGAGGCACCTTGTTACTGCCAGATGGGCAGTTGGAAGTCCAGGATCCCTGCATGGTCTCTACTAACACTATGGTGAGTGGGGGAAGAGGGAAGGCCTGTTATGGCTGGGTAGCTTCCTACTCAGCCTTTTCTGGCACCACCCTGGTAGTTGTGGTAGGGGACAATGTTAGGGTGCCCCATTACAGCCTGGTGAGGGTGTTAAGTCTAGGCTCCCCTCCTGACTTTTCCTGGCATGTGTAGAGATGGGGGGGGGACCCACAATTTTTCTTTGTGGTATTTGGCTGGAGAGCATTTTTATTCTCTGAAAGTTTCATTTTGCTAGATTGTCTATTTCCTATTCCTTTGACTACAGAGTAGGTTTTCCTTGTTTTGCTTGTCTGAACTCATTGGTACTTTGATTGCTGGCTTCTTCAGCTACAAGCCTGAGACAACCCAGTACCATGTTGTCTTGGGTCCTGAGGTCCCTGGCTAGTCTTCCTCTCCCTCTTTTAGAGTCTTATTAGTTGTACTTAACTAAAGGAGTAAGAAAGAGTATGTCTACTCCATCTTTTCAGAAGTCAGTCTATATACTTACACTGTTTTTGATCAGTACCTCAAAACCTTAGGGATCTAGATGATTTTTGTTGTCACTTATATCATTTTCCTTATCTTAAAATTTTTTAGGTGGAGATTCTGAGGACCTAAATTAGAATTGCCTTCTTCAGAGAGAATTTGCATTTGCCTCTGCTGGAAGCCACTAATCTTACTAATTTAGGGATTTTAGTTGTCTTGAAGCATCCTAGTTTCATACAGAATTCTCAGGTTGTTTTCCTGTCCTGCAGCAGGATTGCTCAAGGGTTAGTAGTCAAATTCCAGGGCTATAATTGGCATTTGTATGCAAAGATGTCAGGTACAGTGCTAGAAAACAGTTTATCTTCTTTCTTTTTGTGGGAAAGGGATTGGTATGCCTTGAAGATTTTCCTTATTTTCTTGCAAGCCCAGAAATGCTTTTCAAAAACTGCTAATAGTTTATCCAGGAGTTGGTTGTATTGTAGATGGAGGGCCAAAATCACTGATAGAAATGCAAATCCCTTGTTTACGACATTTGGTAGTACTTCTTTGAAAATGACTGGCAAAGCAATATTCCTCATGATTATCAGATTTTTGTCAAAAGGCCAGACATGAAGGTTTTATTGAGTTTCAAATTCCTTAATGAAAATTGTCATTTTAGGTGGGTGAAATAGATTACTAGAATAATCTATTTTTACACCAAAACGGAGCCTTGCTCACTATATTACCATAACTGAGTTCCAGGTACTGACAAACTTGGTCTTCCTGGGAGGAGTTAAGAACTGGAGAAAACTAGAATATTGGAGGGTGTACTTGAAAACAGTGAGGTGTAACAGCTATAAAACATGATCTAACCTGAAGTCTATGGTTCAGTTCCACTACAGCAGCTGTAGCTGAAAAGTTATTTTTCCTAAGAGAACAAACCAAATCTTTATTTTATGTTCCTGCACCTAGCTCACTTCATTCCAATAACCTGTTTCAAAAGTCCAGCTCGCTGCATTCCAGAGATCTGATTTTTTAATAACCAGTGCTGTTTTATTCATGACTCTTCTTTCCTCCATTTGTTCAGTAAATAAATTTAAGAAGCCAAGAGTCAAATTGGAGCTTCCATAAAACGTGTTCCCTCTGTTCCAAGGATGGCTCTGTATAAACTTAATTCTTTAATAAGAACATTAGTGATTTCTAATACTTATTATGCGTCAGCCTCTGTTCGAAGCTCATTACATATATTTACTTCTCAAAACAATCCTAAGACATAGGTGTTTCACCTGCCCTCACTCTATAGATGAGGAAACTGAGGCACAAAGTAAGAAAACCCAGTTTCCCAGCTAGAACGTGGTGGAACTGATAACTGATCCTAGGCTGTGTGGTTCTAGAGTCTATGCAATAATCCTCTAGTACGGACTGTGTAGAGCCAACGCCAGACCCAGTATGTGTGATGATATGAGTCTCTTAAAGTGAAATCTAGTACTTTAGTAGGGAATAGAGGTTCAACCACAAATACATTTATTTCTCTAAGAACAGTATGCCACTTTTAAATTAAAAAAAAAAAAAATTATCATCAGCTGTCTCAGCAGTTTGCTCGCTCTTTATTAAGCTGATAAAAAAAAATCCCAGAGCAGAGCAATTCACCAGCACGATCATTAAATTGCAAATCTCTCCTTTGTCACAGAGCAAGGATACACTCAAATGCAGAAAATAACTTTGTTCATAGGAGTACCTGCATCCATTTGTCATGCATTCCAGTGCCTCCCGGCCCCCTTTTCAATCATCTAATTCCTAACCTAGTTTCTTTTTATAGTCTGAAAACAAGGAATCACCTTAGTAAGATATCCTTTCAGAGCACTGTTGAACACAGAGATACCTCAGATTCCTGTTCTAAACGTTAAAAATATATTAGCACATACAGAAAATATCTGTAGATCTATTCTGTTATGTTCTAGTGAGTTTTTGTTTCTCCCTTTTTGATAATGTCTTCAATTTCTTCTGAGACTTCTCCTTTGTAGTCATTTGGTTCTATTGCATGTAACTTCTTTTGATACTCCAGTGGCAAACCATTTTCTTTTGCACCTAGGCAAATGACCTAGAAATGGTTAAACAAACAAACAAAAAACCTTTTAGTTAGGAACATAATTTAATATACCACAGCTTCATGTGCTGTATCAAGTGTGAAATATTAGCTTTCAGATAACTCTAGAATAAATAATTACAGGACAAAATACAGACACAGAGTCATTCCCCTCAAAGTAAGCATGAATGTGCTGGGAGTTTTCAAAGTCACATGACACATCCTCATTGAATTTCAATTTTACTCAGTAACATGATTTAACATGTTTTTAAAAGCTGAAGTATAATTAACATACAATGTTGTATTAGTTTCAGATACACAATATAATGATTCAACAGTTCTTTACATTACTTGGTGTTCATCATGATAAGTGTGCTCTTAATTCCCTTCACCTATTTCACCCATCACCTCATCCACCTCCATTCTGGCAAGCACCAGTTTGTTCTCTGTGTTTAAGAGTCTGGGTATTTTTTGTTTGTTCTTTTGTTTTATTTCACAAATTCCACATATGAATGAAATCATGTGGTATTTGTCTTTCTGTCTGACTTATTTCACTTAGCATTATACCTTCTAGGTCCATCCATGCGGTTACAAATAGCAAGATCTTTTTTGCAGCCGAGTAATATTCCATTGTGTATATATTGTGTACACGTACACACACACACACACACACACACACACACACACACACACGTCTCATCTTATTTATCCATATTATTGACTATTGATGGACACCTGGGTAGCATCCATAATTTTGCTATTGTAAATAAATGCTGTGATAAACATAGGGGTGCATATATCTTTTCAAATTAATGTTTTCATTTTCTTTGGGTAAAAACCCAGTAGTGGAATTCCTGGATCATATGATAGTTCTATTTAATTTTTTGAGGAACCTCCACACTGGTTTCCACAGTGGCTGCACCAATTTGCATTCCTACAAGCAGTGCATCAGGGTTTCTTTTTCTCCACACCCTCACTAACATTTGTTATTTCTTATGTTTTTGATTCTAGTCATTCCAACGAATTTAAAATATTTTTATATTAAGACAAAAAATTATTGTATGAGGTTGGCATGATCTATTAAGAAAAAACACGATTCTTCAAAAAAAGTTATAGTTTGGGGCGCCTGGGTGGCTCAGTTGGTTGAATGTCTGACTTCAGCTCAGGTCATGGTCCCATGGTTTGTGAGTTCGAGCCCCACATCGGGCTCTGTGCAGACAGCCTGGAGCCTGGAACCTGCTTTGGATTCTGTGTCTCCCTCTCTCTCTGCCCCTCCCCTGCTCGTGCTCTGTTTTTCTCTCTCTCTCTCTCAAAAATAAACATTAAAAACAATTTTTTTTTAAATTTATGGCTTATAGGGAGCAGTTTTAGTTTAATCCTGGAGCCTACTCTACCTCTAAATTACACATGAGGGAATAAATAGCAACTATGTTCAGTTGTACTTCCCAGATCCATACCACGCTAATTCTAGACAATTCCAGATTAGGCCCAGGAACTGGGTCATCCACTCCAGGTGCTATGTCCTGATTAGGCCTTCCAATAGTACCTAAGTTTGGGTTTCTAAAAAGGGATTGTGGGGTTTCTATCCCACATTCTTTTTCTATGCTTGTGGGAGTGGTTTCTCTGATTTTGAAAGACAGTGTAACTTTTTTCCCTCCATCCAGGGATGGAAACATTTCAGTAGTAGGAAATATATTTTTTTCTCCATAAAAATAAATCTTGGTGCTATGAAATACTGGTTTGTGGAAGAAAAAAATGATTACAAAAGCCTATGTATAGAATAAATCTACCAAAAATTTACATATATGTGTTATTTTCTACTTTAGGAAAGAAAATACATGTCTAGAATTATGGCTCATGTATATTTCTAAAAGTTTTTTATTTTATTTATTTATTTTTTTTTTTTTTTAACGTTCTTATTTATTTTTGAGACAGAGAGAAACAGAGCATGAACGGGGGAGGGTCAGAGAGAGAGGGAGACACAGAATCTGAAACAGGCTCCAGGCTCTGAGCAGTCAGCACAGAGCCCGACGCGGGGCTCGAACTCACGGACCACGAGATCGTGACCTGAGCCGAAGTCGGCCGCTTAACCGACTGAGCCACCCAGGCGCCCCCTAAAAGTTTTTTAAAATAAATACATGCTAGGAACATGGTTCTATTGTTACAAATAAATCTGAACACTTTCGATTTGCATTTGCATGTTAGGTAATATCATATTTGCATTAAAAACATTTTGATTAGGGGCGCCTGGGTGGCGCAGTCGGTTAAGCGTCCGACTTCTGCCAGGTCACGATCTCGCGGTCCGTGGGTTCGAGCCCCGCGTCAGGCTCTGGGCTGATGGCTCAGAACCTGGAGCCTGTTTCCGATTCTGTGTCTCCCTCTCTCTCTGCCCCTCCCCCGTTCATGCTCTGTCTCTCTCTGTCCCAAAAATAAATAAACATTGAAAAAAAAAATTAAAAAAAAAAAAAACATTTTGATTAAAATGAAGTGTTCATGTAGAATTTAACATACACCAAGTCTTATTAAAACAAGATATTTTTTAGCTTAGCTCAGTGAAAATTAAAGAGCAATCGCCAAAAGTCTTTGTAAGTAGCTTACCTTTTTATACTGGGGAGATGGGGGAGCACTCTCATAATTTTTCATCTGATAACTTCGACAAGTTATTTCTTTTCCTTCTTGAGTATAAACATTAACTTCTATTGGGACATATGTTCCACTTTTAACTCCTTCTTGCCTGAAACCAGAACAGCCAAATTTTAACATACATGACTTAGCCAAGTTAGCTTACTGAATTAAAAATTTAACTGTATATGGATATATGTCCTCCCTATGTATTTGGGGATATAGTAGAACATATTATAAAATTACCACATCAAAAGTAAACCTAGCATTCCAAGTAGAAAGCCTCAGCCTTACTATTACTTGGTATACTTCTAACAGATCTCTATATTTATTCTATTGGAAAACATGCTTGAATGTAGTTATTTCAATCTTTGTACCCCTAAACATTGTTCTCTAGGCTACTAAGCAAGAGAATATCCACCCAGAGAAAAGTAGAGAATGGTTCACTCTCATTCACCAGTGACATAAAGTATGAAGCATGTCAGATAATCTGTTCTTATCAAGTCCTACTCTATTCTGCCAGCTTTCTTTGTATACATGCTCTACCATACAACTCTTGAGTCCTAGTTATAAAAAGTATCAAAGCATTTCTGATATGTTATCAAAGTTTTTATAAATTATTATTACTTTTTTACTGATTCAACTACTACCTTAAAGAATTGTTTTTTAAAAACTGACTCTACAGGCTCTGGGCTGATGGCTCGGAGCCTGGAGCCTGTTTCCAATTCTGTGTCTCCCTCTCTCTCTTCCCCTCCCCCATTCATGCTCTGTCTCTCTCTGTCCCAAAAATAAATAAAAACGTTGAAAAAAAATTAAAAAAATAAAAAAATAAAAAATAGATAAAAACTGACTCTAATAAAAATTGAACTGCTTTGAAACCAATTAAGAAAATGCAATAATTACAAACATCTTTGTGACTTTTCACAATATGAAACTGCAAAGAGATTTTTTTTATAAAAGATAAAAAGAACAGGGGCGCCTGGGTGGCGCAGTCGGTTAAGCGTCCGACTTCAGCCAGGTCACGATCTCGCGGTCTGTGAGTTCGAGCCCCGCGTCAGGCTCTGGGCTGATGGCTCAGAGCCTGGAGCCTGTTTCCGATTCTGTGTCTCCCTCTCTCTCTGCCCCTCTCCCGTTCATGCTCTGTCTCTCTCTGTCCCAAAAATAAATAAACGTTGAAAAAAAAAAATTAAAAAAAAAAAAAGATAAAAAGAACAAAAATAAGGGCTTCCATTTTTTGCAGAAGAGATTATAAACATCCTCCCCAAATCTTAATTAGAACGTGTGACCTCTGGGTGCCTGGATGGCTCAGTTGGTTAAGTGTTCAACTCTTGTTGATCTCAGCTCAGGTCTTGATCTCAGGGTTGTGAGTTCAAGCCCCCCATTGGGCTCTATGCTGGGCATGAACCCTACTTAAAAAGAAAAGAGTAGGGG